CAGGAGCTTTGTTCTGGTTTCTGCCTTTCCACAGTTCAGTGTCACATAACACTGTATCCCTGAAGAGGACCAAATCCTGGGTCAGTGTTACAGATTAAACCCAGTCTTTGGGGGTACTACTGGGAAACTGAGGCACTGGTTAGGTTAATGGTGAGAACAGCAGCTTCCCCTGGGTTGTACGATGGATGCTGGGCACAGCTGCATCCTGCATGCAATAGCAGGTAAATAGCATTTAGTTCTTTCATGCTTTGAGTTACCACCTTTGATGGGGAAACCCTTCTACTGGCTCAGAAAGTGCTACACTAAAGCATAGTTACAGTATTAGTGGTAAAGATGAGGGGTGTCCTGTGACCAAGCTCTTCTTTAAAAAAAAATGTAACAAGAACAAATTGACTGACACTTCATTATGAGTTTTCTACAAATTAGAGCATTCAGAATCATGCTGGTCTGATGTGGAGTCCTTGTGCTTATCTAGGAGTTGTGTGTCCCCTTGTGTTACACAGTCCTGCTAAAGAACTTTTTCAGCAAACTCAGGAAAATGTGATTGCTGAGGTCTGAACAATAAGTCACTGAACTGAATTTTAGTTTAAAGACAATGTTTCTATGACCTTTTGCTTTCAATAGTGGTGTTTTGAGCATCACTGCTACTAAAATTCCTAGTTACTTATTTTCCTCAAGCTTTCCGAGGGCACTTAAACAGTCCCTGTGGTATTACTGATGGATGACTTTTCAGCTCTTGTGGGTAGGATTCTATAGTAGGTGCATTTAGAACAAAAGGTTTTGGGGGGTTTGTACAACATGGCTTCTTCTTGTGTTGGCTTTGTTCTTGATAGTAAATGTCCCAGCAAGGTCATTCTTCAGTGTTCTGTGCTATAATTGTGAAAGTTTTCAAAAACAATTTTAAGAACTTTTTCTTGTAAAATCCAAAGTATGCATCCATCTCTATATTGCTTTCCTATTCATATGCTGAGAAAGTCTTAACTCCTATTTTAAGGAGTGACTGTCTCTTCTAATTATAGCCAAAATGTTGCATGTTCATATTGAGTTTATAGATAAGTCCTCTATTCAAATGACAGGAAATAAGTGGATGATAGTGGATCCATTAATGAGAGTGTTCCTTCACTCTGTAGTTCTAAATGAGAAACATGCTTTCATACTTGACCTCGGGAGGTACTAAGACAAATGTGTAATTTGTTTCCCTGTCTGGAGGTGCAGAAAGCAAACCAGTATCAGTAGTTATCTGGTAACTGTGACATGCATGCATTTAGTTTTCCCAAGCTCTGGCTTCACTAGAGTTAGTCTGGAAAAAAACAGCAAGGGAAGCTGAGTTGCATGCACTAATTCCTTACAATGAGGATCATATTATCTGGTTGATGCAATTATTTTAAAAAGTATTTCAAAAGCCTTATTTTAGGCCTCTTGTAATTCTATAATTCAGATTTTTGTGCTGCAAAAGCCTTCCCTCACCTAACTAAAGCACACAGGTCTTGTTTAACCCTGTGAAGCCAGAGCTGGGACTGAGGCAGGCCGCGGGTGCCAAGGTGCTGGTCCCATGCGTGTTGGAAAGCCACCGTGCAATGTCCCCTCACAGACACAACCTTGCTGTGAGATGTGACACAGTTCTAGAGATCTTTGATAAAACTCCAGTCAATTTCCACTACTACAAAGGTGATGATACCTTGAACACGGAAAGTAAATAAAACTGAGAGAATAAATAAGGAAAACGATGATTGAAAATTAAAAAACTACTCCATTCCATGTTCATGACATTTTTAATAGTCGTCTTGCTAAGATGCAGAACAAGGACTATTGAATTTCCATTCATTAGCAGCCAACAGGATATGAATGAGTATTAACTTCAAACAAAAACTTGATTTATAACAACATCAAGTTGTGCACTTAAAAAAATAATTACAAATCATTTTTAAAAGGAAGAGTAACAGTGAAAGCAGTAATGAATATAAAACATGACTGAGTAGGCTTAAAACATAACTTCAAGTATTCTCTGGCATTTCCTCAGACGTTTGTCTCATCTGTTTGTGCAATACCCATCTTTGCATAGTAAAGAAAAATTGGTTAAACTCCAGCCTTAAGTAATCTGTTTCTTTGAACATGCACCTATACAGCTGTTAATGTGCCTAGCAGGCTTCTCTTTTAGGAGTATCAGATCAAATCAGTGAGATCATGCAGCAAACTGGAATGAGCTATACAGTCACCACAGTTTCTTGTCCAGCTGAATAGATAAAAAATGGAGCAAATGTAGAGTGGATGAAATGGAGGCAGTGTCAACCTGCTCTTCTTTTGATGACACTTTGCAATGAACAAATTAACACTAAGCAGATATGCACTTCCCAAAGCACAGCAAAGGCAGATGTAGAAAACCAACACCTACCAAACCCAGTTTTGTCACTGTATACCACCACAGAAAGCACTTCAGCATGTACCTGCTCTGAGCTGTGTTGTCACTCATGTTGTGTACACACAGGGCAGAAAGTGAATGTGTTCTGACACACACACACACACAGTGGCTGATGAGTGGAGCATAAATTCAGCCAAGAAATTGTAATTCCTATGAAACTGCTGGTGTAAATAAAAAAGTTACTCCAGCACTGAACATATGTACATAGTAGTTGGGGACCACTGTGGTCTGATTTAAAACATCACATCACACACTAACAATGTTGTTTGTGAAATGCTTCTCCAAGGTTTATTACACAGGTAGTTTATATGTATATCCAGTTGATATTACTTATTTTAATTTTTGGTAACCAGTAGTGGACTATGCTTGCTTTGGAAGCAGAACCCTAACAAAGTTGGGCATTATGTTCCCAAGCAAAGCATTTTTAGAGAACCATAATACAGTTTGCAAGTATTTTTGGTTTGCTATCCAAGAATTGTCACTAAATTAATTCTGCTTGAAGCCAGGCAGGAATTTTTCAGAATAAGATTTATAATATATATCACTGTCAACTACCTGTGTGCAGCACCTTCAACTCATAATGTAGTAAGTGTTAATGTGATCATGTTAAAGCTGAGTAAAAACATTTAATAATAACTGACAACCAAAACAATATATTGTAGCTCTCTTGTGACACTGTTGAATATTACCATAATAAGAAAAATAAGTGAAATGAGGTTTTCTAAGTCACAGGAAATCTGCAGCATTTTCTTCATGTTTTGGCTCATAAAGCTAGCTTGAGAAATGGATTTCCAGTGAACAAAGATGGAGTAAGTAGTGTAACTGGGCTTCTGTTGTTACCATATCCAACCTTTAAATTAAATCCAAAATTACAAAAGTTTTTAGTTATGATTATCAGATGCAGCAATTAAATTTTCAGGTCACTTCACTTAGAGAAATCAATTTATTTTTTTTAAGTTAAGATGAAAAGGATGACCCAGAATGTACAGCTCTGTGCTTTAAGGGAGGCCTAAACTAGGTATCTTCACATCCCTTTCTCAAGGCAGATGCAGCCAGGCTAGTCTGGTTACTAGGAGCACAGTACTGCTGCCCAGGACCTCTCTGCAAAAATCTGTTTATACACAAGGTGTGTCTAAAAGTAATTACAACACACAAACCCTTGAAATTACACAGGATTTTGCACCCATTGTGATGGTAACTGCCTAGCAGTAGCCAAGGGTCAAAGTATTCATCTAGGATTAAACTTTGAAAAGTGAGATGCATCAGAGAGATACAGGGAGCGAATTAGAAATGTCAATCACCTTTGCAACCTGCTTTGGTTGGGTGGGAAGAAGGCAAGAGAAGAATATCTCATTCCAAGCCTTTAACACTTTCTGAGTATTTTAAGGCTAATTTAAGATTTTATTTTACAGGATCTAGACAGGAAAAAAGTATCTATACTTAGGAAAAAAAAAAAGGCTTGGCACTTCTGTGATTAGTTTGAGAGCATGTTCCTTATCTTACATTATATTATGGAAAAGTCTGTATAACAGCCAAAAAAAGTAATCCAGACTTCTAGTCAATACACAGATATGCATTTATACATTTTTAATTGGTTTTGGTTTCAAGCATACAAACTTTAGATCACATCTTTTGGTGTCAGAACTCCCTGCATCTGCATGCTATTATCTGCCTTTTTAGAGCAAGCCCAGAACATCTGCTGTACAACATGCTACAGAAAAAAAAGGGAGGGGAAAAAAAACCCAAAACCAAACCCAACATCAAAAATAGATTTACATAAAGAATAGAACCTTTTTATATGGAAATTCTTTTCTCTCATATATATATATTATAATCTGT